TTATTGTACAGAAGTTTGTATTCCAGCAATATAATGACCCTAAGCATTCTGCAAAGTCTACAAATGAGTTTCCGAAAAAAAAAGAAAATTACAGTTATGGATTGGCCATCTCAGTCCCCAAACTTTAATCCCATGAAGACCTTGTGTTTGACTTGAAGGTTGCTGTATCAAAAAGAAAACCAATGTCGATTGCTGTATGTATTGAAGAATGGGCAAAAATACCTCCAGAAAGGTGCCAGAAACTGGTTACAAAAATACAAGCTGTAATGTAAGGAAAGAGTGTACACACAAAATAATGTAATGGTGCTTAAATACTTTTGTAAAAGTATGATACTTGTTTTTATTCTTACTTTATGCTTATTACTTAATTATTTGTTGTTTTATTATAGAGCTGAACGCGTACTTTAATATATATTAATAAAAAAATAAACAATTAAAAATGATCGAAACTGCTTTCTTCTTGGTTTTCCTCTCTAACTTCTCAAGTACTTTGGTCTACTACGGTATTGGTGTGCTCCAGCAATTTCATCTAATGTATTCCTCTTTTGAGTTCTTAAGCGCGTGTTCAAGGTAATTAAATATATACATCTAATGTTGGATGTACAAAGGATTTATTTTTAATTGACACGAAAATGCATTAAAGAGATCCTTTTCCTGAACATAAAAATATCTGTTTTTACCTAATTATAAATGAACGTTTTTAATTAGTATTTATGATTAAATAATTACTTTACATATATTGGATGATATTTCACTATACAAACATGTGTATTTTGTATGTACATTAAATCTATATAGTTATACCTGGATATCTGATATTTAGTGGAGAAGAATTAGGTTCCGATCTTTATGTTCGAAAGTTAAGCATAATAAAATAAACCTATTATTAATCTTTCAAGTAAATTATATATGGAAAATAATCAATATTTCTCATTTCATGGAGTTTCCTGTTTGTTTGTTTTTTTTCAAATCAGGATGTCCTTCTTCCAACATCATTTTTTTAATAAAAGTATTTTAGTTTAAGCCTAACCAAGTACATAAGAACGAATGGCTTAGCTAAGGTATGTATATATATATACTTTATATTTTAATTAAAGACAGCAAAATTTAGATCATATTCTTATCTCAGCTCTTGATGCTATCCATCTATTTATCTTATTGTGAAACGGAGGTGAGTAGAATATAGTAAATTAATAAAAATGTAAAATTGATTATTGGGTCTGTATTGATTGCAATGATAAAATGTAGCAGTCTGATTAGTATAGAAATATTACTGTAAGGACCGTTTTCATTATTTTATGTCCCCGATGGTAAATAAAACACGTATGACATATAAAAAGAAAGTAGTTAAATCACAACCAAAAACTTTCGATGTAACCATAGCGCTTTTGGTCTATATTTAAATACGATATGTTGGGGTCTATGTATCCATTCCGATCTCTTCTTTCGACTTATAGTTTCATACAATCACGTATTTACGTGCGTTTTAGACAGTTGTTGTCATTATCCGCCATTTTATGATCCGAGAGCAAATTCCAACTCTATCACGTGAGAAGAAAAATATAGATTAAGTTTAATCCTACATTAATTTGATGGGATTATGCTGCAGTTCTGTGTGTTTTTTCAGTCAGTAATCTCTCTCTGTCTCTAACACATGCAGGCACACGTGTATATCCGTAAAATTCAAAACAAAATACATCGTTATATTTATTTATAGCTTGCAGTAGGTAGTTGGAAATTGGAAAAAAAAACTCGTTCTTTTGTTTAAGTACATGTTTGTACATGGAAAAATCAGAACGAGAACACGATCGCGTTATGAAAATCAGACATGCTTATCAAATCGCTACGTGTTAAATCATTTTTATCTACTAGAATGCCCCCCCCCCCCAGTGTCACAGCTGTATGTCTGCGGACTTACAATGCTACAAACCGGGTTTCGATACCCGTGGTGGGCAGAGCACAGATAACCCATCGTGTAGCTTTGTGCATAATTACCAACAAACAAACAATCAAACATGAAGCCCCCAGTGGCACAGCGGTATGTCTGCGGACATACAACGCTAGAATCCTGAACAGGAAAATCACTCATTCCCTTGATAAGTTTGTGAGCTTTGGTAATTATGTTCTTTATTTTATGTCTTTAATTATAGGCTACACAATGGGCTGTCTGTGATGTGCCCACAATGGGTATCGTTTGTTTTTGTTAATTTCGCGCAAAGCTACACGAGGGCTATCTGCGCTAGCCGTCCCTAATTAAGTAATGTAAGACTAGAGGGAAGGCAGCTAGTCATCACCACCCACCGCCAACTCTTGGGCTACTCTTTTACCAACGAATAGTGGGATTTACCGTCACCTTATAACGCTTCCATGGCTGAAAGGGCGATCATGTTTGGTGTGACGGGGATTCGAACCAGTGCCTCTCAGATCGGGAGTCGAGCGCCCTGACCACCTGGCCATGCCGGGCCCAATGGGTATCGAAACCCGATTTTTAACGCTATAAGCCTTCAAACTTACCTCTGAACCACTGGAGGGGGCTAATTATAGGATGTTTTGTTTTGCACTTTGTCCACTCAACGATTTATTAATTGTATGAATTATCCAAGTTAGCTGTTCAATATAAATAAATTACATATAAAACTAAAGAATGGTGCTCTTTAACGTTATAATTTATAGTACAGGTGCTTTGTGTCTATCTGCTAAGCCCTAAGATAAAATGTACGTTGTTTTCGAAAGTATCGTGTTTTTCAGACTTCTCAATTTAAACATAGATTTACCGTTTTCTTTGAAAGCTTTGGCTTCGCTGATTTACAATTAACTGATTTACATGTAGGGTAAACACCACGTGACTTCCACAAATAGAAAATTATCTTTCCTGTCCACAAATCGGATAAGGGTCAGAAGCAGATGCGTCCTAGAGGTCAACTCCCAGCAGACACAAATCTTTTACCAATTTCACACGCACCACTAAACATTTGTCTTTGTTTGTTTTCATGGTTATTTCGTGTACTTGTGAAATTATCCATGTGATGTCTTTTCTAGATGATCACAGTTGCAGATCATTTTACTCTATACAGTAGGATCCCGTTAAAGAGGGATTCGATATAACGCGGTCAATGTTGGGCTCCCAATTTTCTCTCGCTAATAGCCAGTAGTCAGTCGGAACGAGACAATCAACATTAGACGATTTAAAAACTAACAATAATTTGTTTGTTTGTTTGTAATTAAGCACAAAGCTACACAATGGGCTATCCGTGCTCTGCCCACCACGGGTATCGAAACCCGGATTCTAGCGTTGTAAGTCCGCAGACATACCGCTGTGCCACTGGGGGCAATAATAATAATAAACAATGGATTTTTTGAGACATGTTACATGCTATTGCATTTACTTTAATGTAACTTTGTGTTTGTTATCAGCTTTACGTTTTATGTGCTTCATTTCTATTGTTTAAAGTTAGGCCTAAGTGTAATTAATAAACACAATCATGTGATAATTTTGACATACCGTAGTGTATGTTTTTCTTGTTCTTAAAATGGTTGTGATACACGGTTAAAAGAAGATATAATAGAAGGCATGAGTAACAAGACTTGAGCGATAATTTGGGTATCTGAAGTTCTCAAATGAATAAGAAAACATCTCGTGTACCGAATAACAATGTAAGGGATATGGAATATGACCATTTATGGGTACCCCGAAATAACGCAACCCACATTTAACGCGATCGCATTTCGTGGACCTCAACTATCGCGTTATAACGGGTTTCCACTGTATTCCGATATTCCCCAAACTTTAAGCCTAACTGACTGAGTTGTGGGATAACCTTGAATCCCACATAATAAAAGTGGCGCTAATAAAAAAAAAGAGAGCTAATCTTTATACATAGAAAGGATTGCGTGAGCCAAGCTAAAACACTGTAACAAGTTCAGTTATCCTGTGCTAACTTCAAGAAGCAATTAACGATTGCATTAACCAGAGAGATTTTCAACGGGGTGGGGGGTTGATCTAAAGTACCATATAAGCAAACTATTGCAAATAATCATATAAGCAAACTATTGCAAATAATCATATAACCAAACTATTGCAAATGATCATATAACCAAACTATTGCAAATAATCATATAACCAAACTATTGCAAATGATCATATAACCAAACTACTGCAAATAATCATATAACCAAACTATTGCAAATAATCATATAACCAAACTACTGCAAATAATCATATAACCAAACTATTGCAAATAATCATATAACCAAACTACTGCAAATAATCATATAAGCAAACTATTGCAAATAATCACATAAGCAAACTATTGCAAATAATCACATAACCAAACTATTGCAAATAATCACATAACCAAACTATACATATAACCAGAATAAATAAACATAAAAAAAGAGAAAAATATTTCTATTCCAAAACAACATGTTCCTACCTTGCATCATTAGAAGTTCCATACATAAGCCTGTTTCTGTCAACCACATCCAGGGAGCTATCTTGACTCGATGTGAGTCCATTTTCGCCAGGTGGCGCCTCGGTGCGGAGGTTTAAACGATCTGGCACGGTGTGTTGATGGTGATGGGAGACGTTCTTTCTTCGAAAGCTTCCTCTTGGCGAACGAGCCTCATTCTGAGTAATTAAACAAGGATTACTATGTTATTTCTCTCGTTTAGAAAATTTTAAGTTCTTTAAAGTATTTTATCGAACGATCTGTTGTTTAGCAAAAAACTGCAGTAAATGAAAAAAAAAAGTTAGAAGTCTTGGTATTGGAGAAAATAGTTACGACACATTCACGTGTTTTCTTCAATCTCATGAACGAAGACAACGTGAAACTGAAAAGGACCCACGTGTGTCGAAATTAGTTTCTCCAGTATCAAGACTTCTAACAATTTAACTCCCGTTTACTGTGGTTTACTCTATAATAATCTAAAAAACTAAATATTTCTAATGATATTGGCTTTCTTATCATGAATGTTTGCTATTGTAATTATACGAGAATAATGTTTCATACGTTGTTTACGTAAACTTGTTGTTGCATGCCTAAAATAAAACCCTGTTAACATTAAATCTAATTAAATGTTGCAGTGAAGTTTAAATCCAGATTTATGTGGATACTAGTTTCGATGTCCAACGTTGATATAAAGAGGATATCTCGAAAATTGCATACATATAAATTTGATATCGTTCCGTTAATGTGGATTCGTTGGACTTTACTGTAAATTACTTTACACGGTATTGTGTATTTACCTACTAATTAATTTGGATAGTTTCAAAATTTATACCGTTTACATTTGAGTGATTTTTGTCTAATGCTACTGGCGTCACTTACCGATGAAGATGTCGACAACGTTTGGCAATCTCCCGGCTGGTCTATAGCTTGTTTAACTACTTCCTTGCTCTAATATGTAAATAAATATCAAGTAAAAATGTACTTAAAAACATCGAAAGTTAAAACTTAAATATCTTGGTGATGAAACAAACCGCAATGATTTGACAGTTTTAGAAATATAAACGTTAAAGCTTAAGTGTACTGGTGATGAAAACCGCAACGATTTGGCAATTTTAGAAATATAAATGTTAAAGCTTAAGTGTACTGGTGATGAAACGAACCGCAATGATTTGACAAGTTTAGAAATATAAACGTTAAAGCTTAAGTGTACTGGTGATGAAACGAACCGCAATGATTTGACAATTTTAGAAATATAAACGTTAAAGCTTAAGTGTACTGGTGATGAAACGAACCGCAATGATTTGACAATCTTAGAAATATAAACGTTAAAGCTTAAGTGTACTGGTGATTAAACGAACCGCAATGATTTGACAATTTTAGAAATATAAACGTTAAAGTTTAAGTGTACTGGTGATGAAACGAACCGCAATGATTTGGCAATTTTAGAAATATAAATGTTAAAGCTTAAGTGTACTGGTGATGAAACGAACCGCAATGATTTGACAATTTTAGAAATGTAAACGTTAAAGCTTAAGTGTACTGGTGATGAAACGAACCGCAATGATTTGACAATTTTAGAAATGTAAACGTTAAAGCT